AAAAAAATTCCCTAAAAAGTATTGTTTTTAAACCCCATTTTTGTGATTTTTTCGATTTTTACCATAATAATCATGATTCATTCGATTTGTAACCAGTCATGTATTGTAAAAAATTTAATTACAAACATTTTTTTCCTTTTCCATTTTCGCCTAAAATCAACTCTTAAAAAGATACATAATTAAATAGGAAGAAAAATATGACATTTTTCCAATTTTTTTAACATATTGTGCCGCCAAAAGTTAAGCCCACGTTTTTTTTTATGCGCATAGAAAAATTTTCATTTCTAATGATATTTGAAAGCCAAAAAGCCAAAAATCTCCGTGGATATACGATTCAGCCAAATATGACTTTTTGAAACAGATACCGTCTGGACTATAGATATTTTGTATTTACTTACTTTTATATCTGATCTTGTGGTACTATTGTGGTATGTTACAAGTTACAGGGACTGTAGCGCGTAAACTTTTACAATTTTTTCTTTTAGTAACTATCTAGTAATATTGCAAAAAGTCTTAATCAGATTTACTTAAAATATCACAAAAAGCTAACATAAATGTTTCTATAAACGTTACGTCTTGATGATGTTTTTTTTTATTACTATACATTTATAACATTGTAAGAAAATTACAGAATAGCATCATTGATCTGATGCGATAACATTATTCATAAAAGGGATTATTATTCTTGTAAGTCACTTCACTGCTTTGTTATTATTTCTTTCAAAGAAATATCTGCCAGTGAAAAATAATACATAACGGTGTGAGTGAGGAAAATATCTATCAGTCCATGAGTACAGACAGAATTCTGGTATACAAGTTATGTAGCTTAACTCAGACACAAAAGCACTCCAAACGGGTTGCACAGTTTAATTAGATTAAATAAAAGCTGATAAAAACATGTCTTAGAGGTATTACTGGTAGCCTGTCCTTCAATCAGGTACCAGAGGTGTTCATTGATAAAAAGTAGTGCGCAACCCGTAATACATATAAATAATCTATTACCCGTGTAACATAAAAATGGGCAGTGATTCATATCCAGCACTTAGACTAGTAAGGGAGGTGAGGGATGCAGGGACAAGATCTCATAGGCGTACTACTTGAGAATGGGTGAATAATTACTTTNGAAGAAAAATATGACATTTTTCCAATTTTTTTAACATATTGTGCCGCCAAAAGTTAAGCCCACGTTTTTTTTTATGCGCATAGAAAAATTTTCATTTCTAATGATATTTGAAAGCCAAAAAGCCAAAAATCTCCGTGGATATACGATTCAGCCAAATATGACTTTTTGAAACAGATACCGTCTGGACTATAGATATTTTGTATTTACTTACTTTTATATCTGATCTTGTGGTACTATTGTGGTATGTTACAAGTTACAGGGACTGTAGCGCGTAAACTTTTACAATTTTTTCTTTTAGTAACTATCTAGTAATATTGCAAAAAGTCTTAATCAGATTTACTTAAAATATCACAAAAAGCTAACATAAATGTTTCTATAAACGTTACGTCTTGATGATGTTTTTTTTTATTACTATACATTTATAACATTGTAAGAAAATTACAGAATAGCATCATTGATCTGATGCGATAACATTATTCATAAAAGGGATTATTATTCTTGTAAGTCACTTCACTGCTTTGTTATTATTTCTTTCAAAGAAATATCTGCCAGTGAAAAATAATACATAACGGTGTGAGTGAGGAAAATATCTATCAGTCCATGAGTACAGACAGAATTCTGGTATACAAGTTATGTAGCTTAACTCAGACACAAAAGCACTCCAAACGGGTTGCACAGTTTAATTAGATTAAATAAAAGGTGATAAAAACATGTCTTAGAGGTATTACTGGTAGCCTGTCCTTCAATAAGGTACCAGAAGTGTTCATTGATAAAAAGTAATGCGCAACCCGTAATACATATAAATAATCTATTACCCGTGTAACATAAAAATGGGCAGTGATTCATATCCAGCACTTAGACTAGTAAGGGAGGTGAGGGATGCAGGGACAAGATCCCATAGGCGTACTACTTGAGAATGGGTGAATAATTACTTTAAAAAACTTATAAGACTTACCTGTCATCCTCTCTACAATTGTTGAGTGCCGATGGCCCACCACCACCCACTTACACCTACCTGATGCGCACGACGCGAATACCACACTTTATAAATTTTAAGTTATTTTCAAAAGATTCAAGATGGCTGTTTTTATGTGTATATAACTGCTTAGCAAGCCATAATTCGATCTTTTTCGATTTTAACCAGTCTATAATTTCCGCCTTTCTCCATGCTGATGTTGGTTCCATATGTGGCAAAACAGATTCAAACAATTTTTCAAATACTTTGCTATCCATATCCTCATGATAGTCTCCTGTTCGTCGTCATTCAAAAACAAGTGAACTCTGTTCCAAAAATCCTGCTGTACTTCCAATATGCGTTATTATTAGGCGCCGCCCTTTTCCAGAAGGTGACTTTAATTCTTCCAGAAATGCCTGACGTTTGCTTTGGATCTTGCCACACTTTTGTCACCGTATGACCTTCATTCCATGTTTCGTAAGTGTAATATATTCTACGATTTAGTTTTCGAGATTCTAATACTTGTCTTCAATAGTTTCTACGCTATATCATTATTTCCCCTTTTTCTATCAGTATACTTTTTCTATTTCGTTTTATAAAAGGAAATTCATGTAACGCATAGTTCTCAAAAGCATACCCTTCGATCTATATGTATAATCTAAGCACATTTTGATCCTGTGAGATAACAGCCTGAATTTTTTTATTGCCGGAAGCTCATTTTTAAAATACCATCCATGAATTGTTCTGCGAATCGCATATTTTGTGTCGTCATCAACATCTATCTTTTTCCTTCCGCGAGTTTCCACCCTTTTCCTTTTCGCAGTCGAATCTTATTGCACGATATAGGTACACTTCTCACCGACACTCTTGTTATTGAACTGCAGCACTTACACTCATATTTTGGCTATAAGGCCTTCATACAGGTTTTTTATCATCTGATATTCCTGTCTTGTCAGATGAAGGCGCTTACTATTACGATCATTACTTTCAGTAGCTTTATATTTGAAAATGATAGCCAGCTGCGGAAACAACTGAATTTTGACGTTTCTAAATAACGGCTTTTCAAAATAATTGACATTTTGTACCTACCTTTCTATATATAACTAATTATTATTACTATAACATGAATACTTATAGTAACCAAGAAAAACTAGATATGATTTTAATTTAGAGAGTGCTGAAAGCAAGCTAAAGCTGCCATGCATTTATACCAACATCGTTTTCCGCAGAGACAACTTCCATCAGATCAAATTTTCGGAAAGTTAGCCAGGAATTTGGCGGCAGACGGAAAGTTTTCAAAAGAAAAGAAGAGTTTTTAAACCCAGAAGGGTAAGAGATGAAGTACATTCGATAAAGATGTTAAATTAACTAAACCTAAAAGAAAACGTTTACCATTCGCCTTTAAATGATATTGACGACCTTAAAAACAGAATAAGAGTAGAATGTCGGAGATTAAATGAAGAAACACTACACTCTGTTTTTGTACAGAGAGAGTGACAAACAGAGCTTTTCTATGTTTGGAAGCAAGTGGAGGTCATTTTGAGCATTTGAAATAAGTACTGTTTTAAATTGTTATATTGTTATCGTATTAAAGATAAAATATGTTACTTTAAAAAACGCAGTAACTTGTTTCCGCAGCTGACTATCATTTTTCAGAATAAAGCTACGAAAAGTAGGGCGCATTTTTTTGCTGTTTTTCTAGCAATATTTTTAATGAAACTATAAGACTTCCTTACATAGCTGAACGCAGAAAAAAATATCTTCCAGAATTGATAAAAAAATATATAGTGTGCCATTTGAATAAAAACAGTTGACTATAGCAATTTTGACATATGTTACCATGGAAACGATTTAATAATATTTAATAATGTCATTTGGTAGAGTTTGACCGTCGATTTAAAAATATATAGGGTTTGTTATAGCTATTTGTTAAAATAAAAGAGATACAGACCTGCGAATACCAAGCTGAATCACCCGGTATATTATTATAAACAAACGGCAAAATGGCAGTTGCATTTGTGCTTTGCTACAAAATTCAGTTTTGTAAAACTGTTGCAATCTATACATAAGATTCAATGCTGTGTGCCTACTTATAATTTAAATTGTTTTGCGCCTATTAGTCGGTGACATTATGTAATTTGGGAGCCACGCCTGCTATGACAGATGAGAGGCATCAGTGGCAATCAAACATAAAATACAGAAATAACTAACATTACGGTGGCGTAATAAGAATAGTGGTGTCAATAGAAGCTAATACCTCGTCGATTTGACTATTTGATATTCGATTACTTTGATAATTCTATGCCGTTTAATTTTTAATTGAAAAGCGAAAGAAACCATGTTGAATAGTTAGTATAATGTTGCTGTTTTATAAAAATGTGACAAGATTATTACAAAAAATTCGTTCGAACTCTCTCAAATTTCATAATTTTAGACTAATCTATAATAGTTTCGAAAAATTATGTGGTGTTATCAAATTTATTAAAAATAAAAAATTGATTTTTGAGATTGTTTTTGAAATTTTTTCCTACTTATATCATATCATTGAAAAGTAGTCAAAAAATGTTCTACTATGGCACCCACAAGAGAAAAGGAAGTTGATGAAGCGTTCTCGCACCGTAAGCCTCGCAATGAAAATATAAATATTTATTATTATTTATTTAGGAAACACTTCCTATAATCAGTGATACAATGAATAAATGACAAAGGATGCGTTAAGCCAAATTTTGAGGACAGGGCCACGCCACTAGCGTTAATAAAAGGACCTATTCTGACGTGGGACTGTCGTACACATGTGGGAGATCACGCGTTGGTTTTAATTCAAAATTGGCTCTTGCCGCCTCTGGTCTTCTATTTCTTTTTTTCGGAAGGTACTTCCGTAAGGATCTGAACAAAAATAGTGTTACAAAGGTTATTGCCAACAGCACGTGATATGATACAACGGTAATCAGTATATAAACAGCGCATGTAAGTTTCCAACTGGCTGCATGGCTTTCTTCTACCCCCACGTAATCGTGTTGGTACCCATTCAACAGGAACCGTCGATATTCCCTGTCTAATTTGTTTAAGTAATTCGTTTCGTCCCTTAGTTTGAACTTATCGAACAGTGCTTCGTATTGGGCGTCAAGGTTTGTAGTATTTAATTCCGCAATACATTTTTCAATGAGGAAATCATACAAATTTTGCTTGACCCGAAAGAAACGTCTCAGGTGATCTGTGCTTTGGACAGGCCTATTGTCCGCTTCTACTATAGTTTGTGATGTTACTATTAAGGCCCCTTTTTGAACTTCCCACGCGGTAACACCGCATTTTTGTTGTACATTGTTCCAATCAAAGGCAAAGTATTTGTGCTCGGACTCCACAATCGCGTAGTTTTTCCCGTTAAGATACATGTGGTAGGAGTTCGAGACGTTCACTCTTCTAAGACTGTTACAAGACAACTGATCGGCTCTGTTTGTCTTCCACATAACGTCAATATTATCTCTGTCATCATGGCAGAACCCTGTGCTGTATTTGCAAGCAGTGCCCGATCGGAGCACTATTTTATCTTGCACTACGTCCGCTTCGGTGTAATATTTAGTAAATATAATGGTTATAAACTTGTCGAATCTAGCGTTATTCTCACACGTGTACTCGTATTTGTATACTGTATAGTTGTTGTACGAATGTCCATAGACGTTTGTATATTTATTTGTGTCAAATGCTTTTAAACATGTGTTAGTAATGTCGCTAAATCGGTGTGATGAGTTGGCACTTGCTGCAGAATTCGTGTTTCCCCATTTACATTTCAAACATACGTCACTGTGGCATACGTTATCTTCGTTGTAGAGGCAGTGGTATACTGCTGTATTAAGTACAGCTGTTTGTTGATAGATGAACAGGGGTGTTGTTGGTAGCATGGTTTCCGGTTGAGTACAATTGTTGGAATCCGCCGTAGTTGCCGAGCAAACGATCAGAGAAATCAACAGGCGCCATATTGTCCTTGAACAAACGATATAGATTAGATATAAAATAATTAATAAAGAAATGATTAATATAACAAAATTTCTAGGAATTATGATAATTTATTTTAATATATTTTTATTATAATTTCCCCCACGGATCAGAATCCTATGTGTACTAACAATAAGACCTATTTTATTTTTTTGCTCATAAATTATTACATTTATGGAAAAACGGTACAAATCAAATTTGTTTCGCAAACCCATTTCACGCACTCAGTGAACCATCACGATAAGCTAATGTCATAGTAGTTCAAAATTCACCCATGTTTCGAAATGAATTTGACAATCTTACACAAGGCGCAGTTTCCACCAAAACAATCGGAATAATAGGAGACGACCTTCTACTCAGATCAGAAAGCGCAGGGTGAGAAAACACATTATCACCTCAGTTTCGAAAATTTTCAGGATTCCACCTTGTTGGAGAGCGCGCAAAAAAACGTTTAATAAACAGGCTAATCACAAAAACGAAATGAAAAATAAATAAAGTTACTTTCAAAAGATTTGGTGAAAAATCCTCATAGAACAATAAAAAAAACAAATTGAAGCTTGAACAATTGTGTACCATTGTGAATATTGTAAAAAAAATTGGAATGATTAATTTTTTTTAATTTTTTCTCTTTTTATCGATATTTAACATTTTTTGATGATAAAAAAATGTTTTTGCTGAAACAAACAAATTTGATTTAAAAAAAATGAATAAAAGAAGCAAAATTTATCCTTTAATTGATTATTATTAGCAAGTTTTACACAATTTCAATCATTTGAATCATATTGAAAGAAAAATCACAACGATTTGAACTCTTAAGGGTTTCTTTTGACAAAATTAACAGTGGCGTAGAAACTGTTATAAAAAGAGTCACATTGCCCCCGCTTTTACGTCACTGTTGTCCGTGAAATATTGAGGAGTACGTCAAATAATTAGTCTTTAGATGCTAACTGCATGTGATAAATTTGAAAAAGAAATTTTAAGGAGGCATTTGCGACCCCATATTTATTAGGACTCCTCGTCTTCTCTTCTTCTTCTTAACCTGTGGTTAGGTTCTATCGAAATCGTATAGAACCCCGGCCTTTTCCGGCCTACTGTCTCATTGTGTTCCAAAAAGGATTTTCCCACGAACGTCATTCTACTGCGTGCAAATCCTGAGCACTCGCCCAGGATATGCAGAGAGGTTTCATCCGCCGAGTCACATCCTCTTCAGACCGCACCGTCTACAAGCCTTAGTAGTATAATCGGATTAGACTTTAAAAGTACTGTTTAAAAGTTAAGTGGTAAATTTTTTTCAGATAAAATTTTCACATCGATTATTTAATTGTTACGATTTTTATGCAAGTTTTGAGCCTTTACTCATTGCTCTACGATGCTGAGATATACAGGGTGTTAAAAAAAGTGTAAAATATTTAAGGAGGTAATAGTATGAACCAAAAAAAACAGAAAAGTCTCAATAAACATGGCTCCGCAAAGTAACGGTTGCGGAGATATGGAATGTTTTATGTTTTTTAGCCCCGTTTTTATTTTGCAAAAACGTTGTGTATTTTCTTATAATAGTTGGTTGATGTTTAGTGAAATAAACAGTACGTATTTGACAGTTGTTCTCAGTGCACAAGTTTTCTTTCACTATGGCTGGTTACTCTAACGCAGAATTAACAGACATGCATTTCATGTATGGTCGTGCTAATGGGAACGCCACCGAAGCGCGACGTCTTTATGTTGACGCTTATCCAAATCGCCAGATTCCTTCACAACGCATGTTTGGAAGAATTCACCAAAGATTGCGTGATACCGGTTCCTTGAGCAAACAGTGCCATTTATCCGGAAGACCAAGGTCGGTATCCACTCCTAGAGCAGAAGAAGAAATTCTAGCACTGGTAGAGCAGAATCCAGGTACGAGTGTGCGGAGAATATCAGCCGAGGTAGGAATTAGTGGTCCTCTTGTTTGGAGAATCCTTCACGAGCAACTGCTTTATCCATACCATGTGCAACGAGTACAGGCCTTAAATCCAATAAATGATCATCAAGCACGTTTGGTTTTTTGCCGCTGGTTTCTACGTCATGATGCTGAAGACCCTCGTTTTCTTGCAAACATTCTTTTTACTGATGAGGCCGGGTTCACAAGAAATGGAGTGTTTAATTTTCACAATACGCATATTTGGGCCGACGAAAATCCTCATGCTCTAATAGAATCTGGACATCAGGCACGTTTTTCATTAAACATTTGGATGGGTATTGTAGGTGACAGGTTTCTAGGTCCTGTTGTTTTACCAAACCGATTAACAGGCGCTGCTTACCTCAACTTTCTGCAGAACACACTGTATGAGTTTTTGGAAGACATTCCTTTGAATCAGAGGCAACAAATGTGGTTCCAGCATGATGGTGCTCCAGCTCATTTTTCCATGGCCGTTAGAGAGCATTTACACCAAACTTTTCCACATAGATGGGTAGGAAGGGCCGGACCTGTTTTATGGCCTCCAAGATCGCCTGATCTGAACCCTCTAGATTTCTTTGTTTGGGGATATTTGAAGACATTAGTGTATGGTACTCCTGTAAATAGCCTGGAAGAGCTGCAGCTACGGATTAATCAAAAGTGTCAAGAAATCCAAACCAAGGAGGGTGTTTTCGAAAGAGTTCGAATATCGTTGAGACGAAGATGTCGTGCCTGCTTGGAAATGGACGGAGGGCACTTTGAACATCTTCTGTAACTTTGTTTTTTGTTTGTTAAAAGCTTCCTTTGTCGGTTTATTCCTAATAAAATAAAATGTTTGAAAAACGAATAGTGGTCCATATCTCCGCAACCGTTACTTTGCGGACCCATGTTTATTAAGACTTTTCTGCTTATTTTGGTTCATACTATTACCTCCTGAAATATTTTACACTCTTTTTTTAAGACCCTGTATATTTTTTTCATAAAATCATTGTGGCTTTGTTAATATTAAGAACTCTAATTTGCAGGTAGCCTAGAGTAAGAATTCTACTATCATATCTGTCATTTAAACAACAACGAATGTGAATATTTAAGTTAAGTTACTGTTAGATCGTCGTAGCTCATTTCGTAAACTCACGACTGCGAAGCCGAAGGTCCGGAATTCGAATCGCGGAAGGGTAGCATTTTTTGAAATGTAAAGTCCGTGTAAGCGGACTTGCCTATCTTTCTAGTGGTAATATTAAGATTTATCTGCCACAATAATTTTTTGAAAAAAAAAATATCTCTCAGCTCCACAGTACCTATCGTAGAGCAATGAGTAAAGGCTCAAAATTTGCATAAAAATCGTAGCAATTTACCACTTAACTTTTAATATCAAAAAGGCTTGATTTTCAACTTAATATTTAAACAATTTACACTTCAATAATCAACTTTTCCTTTATTGTATGTTGTAGTTCAACTCTTTACGAGTAAAATAAGCCCCCGAACAAGTCTCTATGACCTCTCAAAGATGGATCGTTATGTCTGGTCGCTACCAAGTACATAGACCCTAACAAACGGTTTTCCAAGTATTGCTAAAATTCGACTTTTTTAATTAACTATGACAATTTCCCTTCATTGGAATAAATTTTATTAATACATGTTTTTGATTCAGACTTAAGCACTTCTAATTAAGCTGTATCTCATTCTTAATAGACATTGTATATTAAACTATAACTATTTATTGATAATCTACTTTTTACTAAAGTTTGATCAATAATTAATCCACACTGTATACATAAAATTGTTTTAAACTTACCTCTTGTTAAAATTTGCGGAATTCTTCATCACGTATTAAAACGCCAGACAACTGTATAATGAAAAATGTATTATTAACATTTTACCTAAATAAATAAAAGCTATGATCTCATTATTATCATTAAACCACAGAAAAACACACTTGCATTATATTCAGTGACCACAAAACAGTTCTATTTATGAATTTAGTAATAACCTTTTTTATCATTTTTATTTTTTAATTAGATTTTTCTTCAAGAGAATAGGACTTTTTAACCAAGCGAAATTAAAAAAAGAAACATAATATTGGCTAAACTCTAATAGCATATTAATTTATATTGACAATTTCACTCATATTCATATAAAAAAATCCCATTTACGAATGAAAAAATCGTGGTCTGCTATCGGCCAAATAGGAAGGAAAAGAAATGCAACTGGACTAAAAAGCGGAGAAATTACGTTACCAAGCAACGGAATGTTATTTTATTTATTAAACGTAGCGTCAGTTTAAAACTGTTAAATGTTATAATTGTTATTTATAAGTCAAAATTAAAAATTTATCGGCATGTTTCGATTTGGCAATACGTGTGAAGAAGAATTAGTAAATGAAATCGAAAATTGTATCCCTAAAAATACGAAGAAAAGCCAATCATCAATTTGGAACCAATTTAGAATATTTTGTAAAGAAAGAAATTTTGATTTGGACACACATCAGTGTATTGAGGATGTGGCAATGATACAGGGTGATTCACAAACGGTGACCAAAAATGAAACTTCGTATTCTTTGGTGAATTTTAAGAGGAGTCTTTAAGTTTTTATTTAGTATTCGTTAAAAAGATACAGGGTGTTAAACTTAAGGGTGTTAAAAAGATACAGGGTGTTAAACTTAAAAAAATGTTTTTAATTTTTTTATATAATTAAAAAACTAGTAAGTGAAATAATTTGAAACTGACAACTATATTTTCCATTTTATATATTTAGATCCGTAGAAACCAAATCTGCCATGGAAAATGTTTTATCCTCCTCTGGTCATTTTCTCATTTTCTTAATTGCCAAAAACTAAATCAAAAACTTAAAAAAAAAACAGCCAAAACATAAAATTATACACTGTACAAAAAATTCACTCAACTTTACTCAAAATCATATTCATATTGGAGTTAAATTTTTTTCTAAAAAATTAAAATGAGCTCCCATTGCTTACATAACACACATACTGCCCAGTCTCTGGCCACCCTGTATTGAAGATCCCAAGAGATATATAAGCTGTGCTAGAGAGTTTGTGTACCCTCTAAGGAGGTAAATTTAATTCAAGCTCTAAAGATTCCATCCACACTCAACTTCCTAAAGCTTCCATACAGGCACCCTAAGGAGGCCATACACACATAAACAGTGATAAAAGACACTAAAAATTAGGAACTATACTCGACAGTGCTCCACAAAGCACAGTGCAAAAAAAAAATAAAGGTTAACATTTTCGTATTTAATTTTAGTTTATTGTTTATGGGCAATTTTATATACAAAAGGTACATGTTGTGTCACTAATACAAATAAAATATAAAAAGAAGACAGTAAGTGAATATGCAAAATTTATTTAAATGTCAATTTATTGATATACGAAGTTACGCTTGATAAATATTTTAAAATGTTTAAAATTCATTACGTTAAGTTTGTGTTGAGTGAATCTGCTTACTAAAATATTATAAAGATTTAAGTCCAAAATGTTTTTTAGCAATGTTAAACCTGGATTTCAAGACAATCAGATCATCATAATTGTGTCTAAGCTCCTTTATGTTACGGTAAATGTCGAGTAATGATTCTAGTATATACAAACAGGGTAATGGGAGAATTTTTAGTTTTTTAAATAATGGTTGACAATGAGAATGGTGACGAATTACTGATAATACGTATAGCCGATTTTTGTAAACAGAAGACTCTCTTAAACGACGTTGAATTCCGCCGAAATAAAATCACGTAAGTCAAGTGGCTATTTATTAGAGTGAAATAAACAGATCTTAGAATATTATCAGGCAAGCAATTTTTAAGTTGTCGTAATAAAAATATTTGAGAAGATAATTTTGAGCAGAAAATGTCAATATGTGCTTTTCAGTTTAGGTGATCGTCCAGCATTAAGCCTAGCAGTTTCATTGGCGCAGAGCTAATAGTGCGTCTACGGATGTGAAGTTCATGTGTTGAGTTTTAGACTCACTTAACATTACTTTGTTTGCTGAAAACCAATCATTAGCTTTATCAAATAAGGAAATATTAAAATATGTGTCACTACTTGATAAGATCGTAGTATCATCTGCAAATAATACACAATGACCGTCGAGAGCACTGGGAAGGTCATTAAAATAAACAAGAAAAAGTAGAGGCCCCAATACAGACCCCTGCGGTACACCATTATTTATAGGAACAATACTAGAATTTTTACCTTCGCAACAAACAAACTGTTTCTCTTGTTTGTAAGATAAGACGCAAACAAATTTAATGCATTGGACCTCACTCCATAGAACTCAAGTTTACGAAGAACTATGGCAGTAAACACTGAGTCGAAAGCTTTAGATAAGTCATTGCCTTGATTAAAGCCGTCAACCACTGTACGAATTACGTCAGCTATTGCGCTAATTGTTGACTTATTCTTGCGAAAACCGTACTGCTCGCCAAAAAGCAACTGCTTAGATTCTAGATTTAATGACAACATATCTTTAGCACTTTGGACAAGTAAGGAGCAATAGCGATCGGTCTATAATTATCTGTGATATCAGTGTCACCTTTTTTAAACATAGGAATAATTTTAGTTACTTTGAATTATGCACTTATTGAATAGGATAGTCAACGGCTGTGTTATGTATGCAATTATGGATTTTATTATTTTGCTGTTTATATTGTAACAGTCTAAAGTATGAGATTCTTTTAGTTTCAATATAGCTTCATTCACGTCGGATTCAAGTATGCCGGACATAAAGAAAGAAAAATGTGGTTTACACATCTTTTCTAAATAGAGATTGTATGGTATGAATTAGATATTTTAATAGAATTATAAATGACATTTGAAACATGGCAAATAAATTATTGAAATCTTTTGTTCAACTGTTGCAGATTTGTAGATGTTGTACAGGGTGGTTCTTAGTGACTAAAATCAAATTTCAATCACTACTGACTAATAAAACAATTATACCTAATTTAAATCATGAACATTACACACAAAACACAATTAACCGTTTATTAATATTTATATTAAATTCAAAAGATGCTTTGTGCAATTGATTTCCACTACCAAAACTAACACAAGGGTGCTCATTTTCTTTGTGAGCCGGCATTCTGTTAATATTTGCTATTGCAACCGCAGAACAAGCAGTAGTAGAGGCAGAGATGTTTCCGTTCAAAATTTTCTTTCCAATCTTGATTTTCTGTTGAAGAGAATCTTCGACATATACTTCAGCTGCTTTGTCGCTTTTCCAACCATCAAAAGCGTTTCAAAGTAGTAATGCCTGCGACACAATCTGCTAAGAAATAGCTGCTGATCTGCGAAATTAATGACCTGTATATGTTTTTGGATTTTCTAATTTCAGGTATCTAGAGATACTTGCAGGCATTTTTCCGAAAGTGTTAATGTTTGTTGGTTGAACGGTACATTTTCCTTCGGTAGTTGAGGCTGATTATTTTTTTCTGCATAAGCATGCGAACTCATGTATTTTCGATACAGTTCCATTAGGCTAACGCCAAAACCACCTCTCAAAACCGCTCGTGAATAGAAAATGAACCAGTAGAATGTCACTTTTTTCTTCTGTGGGGAAGGTTACTGTCCACCAACATAAACTCGCTCTAAGTAACACAACAAATAATTTATTTTGCAACTCAGTATTCAGGAAAACGTAACGATGTACAAATATAATTCGATGATATCAGATAGCAAACTGTCTCACATTTGTATCATAATATACATGCTATGAATGGTTTAGGACGATTTAATTACATCAACAAATACCCTTAATGCAGGAAAATATACTTAAGTGATGCGGTAATTATAAACATTATTTGAAATTATTTAAATAAAAATATTTTCATGGACCTTATTAATAAATCATTTACTCTTACGCCGAAATATTACTTTATTATTTACGTGAAAACAGTGACGCGACAGGAGACTGGTATTCTCATAATTAAATATGCTCCATGCGCATATACCGACAACAGAAATTTGTTGATTTTTTCCTATTGGAAAAAAATTACGAATTTTTGGCTTACTCACATGTATTTGTTTTTCACTTAGGCAATATAGCTATCGTACACATTTTGACCCTATTTTGGACCCTTCTTTTCTGCAGGGGTAGAATAGTAAATGTGCCTTGTAATGAAGTAGACAAATGAAAGTACAAAGTCTATTGACATTAATATTTGATGTATGTATAACAATAATTTGCTTTAAATTAATAACAAAAATAATTTACAACCGTCCTTAAAAACGAAAGTACAATTTGAGAAAGGAACTTTTAACAGTAACACCAGAAAAGCTTCCTAAATTTTCTTTGCCATCGAATAAATGTTGTTCATTTTCCCTCACAATCAATTCAGAAAAATTTTCATCACTGGTTCTTTCGACTTCTGCATGCTATTAAACGAGATATTTTGTTCCAGGACATTATACCATCTTCTACATATACTGATGCTACAGTATCACTCTTCCATTTCCATGTCATCATATCTGCACCTGCATCTACGAGAAGAGTTGCCGATGTACGACGCAAACAATAACCTGTGTACATTTTAGCATCTGCATAGCCGAGAATTTTGCAATCCTGGACGGTAAATTTTGTTACCAATAAGAACCATTTTAACCCTTTAGGGTTCCACAATTTTGTAGGTGTAAATTGCTGCCCATAATGTGTCTTACCAAATTTGAAACAAGTGATTTTGCTGATAAAAAGGTATTAGCAAAATATTATTAATAAAAAAAAACTGAGGCAATGCAACTCATTGAGGAACTTTTACTATTTTTTTAGAGTAGAATCATCCCCCTAAATTTTTCACTTACAGTTTCCCCACACTTTGCATACGGAAAATATGAGTGGAATGGACATAAAGTACGTAATTTATATAGCAAACTTATCATCATTTTCCAATAAAACGAACGCTTTTCACAACCGAAAATAATCTACCTATGTAATTTAACCAACAGGGTCGCAGTGTGATTAGAATTTTGTATCCGCTTTGTGGCTCGTGGTGATAATTTATCGACTCAACAAAATCGTATTTCAATGAAATAGCAGTTACACAGTTCCCTTCTAGTGCAACACAGTATGAAACATTCTACAACCTTTAAAGAAATGTAAGTTTAAATAGTTTGTAACATTTTATTCAAGACGGTTTCTGAACATACTACGAAATAATGGCGTCAGTTTATGATAAGTACGACGCATCGTATTTCAATTCGTTTTTTGTGATGTAAATGAGAGACGAATTTTACTACAGTCATCAGTGGCGTACGCTATACTTTTATATAACTTCCGGTTTTTCTTTTATAACCCCAACAAATCATTTTAAATGGGAGATCTTAAGTGTGTCATAGATGTAAGAGGGAATTTTTGGTGCAAGACAATGGGAGTAAACGATCGACATACACGCAAATGCACCGAGACAAATTTCGGTTTATTCTAGAAAATTTTAAGTTAGGCGTCAGTTACACTGAGTTTAATTTGTTACAAATAAAATCTCCCTAGTTCCAATTGAATGAATTAAAAAAAAGTATATTCACTTAACTAAGCAGAGCAACTCACTTGAAATATATCGACAACTGAATAAAATATAATTCTAAATGAGCTGTTGAATAGGGATAAGACATTTTTTATTTTGTTGCCCTTGCAAATATTTTACTCACTGTAGCTAAAATATCTTAGTAATGTGCCCCACTTAGATGATTTCTTTCAGTGTAAACTAATAAAAAGACATTTTACCAAAAGAGGAAGATGAAGCTTAAATGTTACAGATTTCTTAGATGCTTCAACAGTGTACTTCACTTACTTTAATAGTGTACTCAGAGTACTACAGTGGGGCAGACTAGAGCGCTTGTCCACGATTAAATTTAAAAAATAAAAATAAATATTTTAAGAATAATACTGCTGACAAAAAATTATAAATTTAAGTTAAAATAATTTTAATTTATTATAGTTTTAAATTTGAGAAATATAATAATTTTAAGCATAACGTTTTTGTCACATCGCCCGACATAAATATGAATTACTTTGTATTAAATTATTCTTCAAATTATATATATTTTGTTTTATTTATTTGAAATTATTACATTGACGTTTAAATATCATCGTCGGCCGGATTTTTTTTAAATGATTCATATCTCTTGAGGCGACTATTTTTTCCATTACACAAGCAGGTCAACATTTAGTTTGAAAAAAAAACACTGAACGATACGTAGGGGTTTTTGGGGTCGCTGATTTCGATGCCGAGGTCGGTTAAGCTCTATCATGTCAGGCTCAAGGTCATTTGAAGGTCAAACTAAGAAAAGGTGGTTGAAAAAATCTGAAAAAATTCATACCTACATAGGTTTTGTGGGTCGCTGAGTTTGAATACTACGTCGGTTTACCTCGATCACCTCATGTTCAAGGTCATTTGAAGTTTAAAGTAAGAATAGGATGTGAAAAAAATTGGAAAAGTTTTTACGAATGCTCACCTGCCTACTTTTGTGTGTTTACCTGCACACTTGTTTGTTTGCTTGTTAGTCCGTATTTACCGACCGCCTGTATTTTCTCTCTGTCCATGTACCATAGACGTTATAAACTACTGGACTCGCCCAACTGTCATTTTGCCTATATAAACAGCAATCGCACAGACGTGTGCAAGAGAGATAGAGCTAGTGCGGGATTATGCTTTGTTTACAGAACTTCAACTGTAGCGCGTTACATTTAATTCAACCGCCATTATTCCATGGCTAGAAATTGGCCTCAATGATTTGGGATCGAGGGGGATTATCCCTCTTTATCCTGCCTCATCTCGTGTAGACCTGGACAGCCTTCGTAGGTGGGCCCCATCCGTCGTCTACCCCGACCGCAAATGCGGCCGGTGTAGGCGCTTTGTGGGAGATTCAACCAATCAGCTAGCTATACTACCCCCATTTTCTGATGGGCCGTATTCCCGTATGAAGTTGAAATGACTTTAACTACATTCATGTGTGGTGGCTACACTGAAAATATGGTTAAGTTAAAAATTTTCTAAAATTATTAATTAGGTTTTTTTTTAATTATATTCTGATGAACGGCGGAAGGGACAGCCGACGAATTTCTGATCTACAAAGACTTTATAGAAATAATATAAAGAGATTAGAAGACAAAACATTCCATTAAAAATGTGTAGATTACTCCAGTCGGGTTAGACAAAAAATGGGCTTAACCGGGAAAAAATTAGGGACCACAATTTTATTGTTTTAACCTTTAGGGGGGGGGGGTCAATAGTAGTGTAAATTCAGAATCGCGACTGAATTCCACCCCTGCGTCAGCCGCCATCTTGAACTTAAGGAAAAATAGTTTTTGCTCAATATCTCGGCCATTTTCAACTTTACAACAAAAATGGTAATTACTTAAGTTGTTGCAAATGCGATTTTCTACAACTTCTTTTATTGAAAATTTTATCGTGCGATCGATATTTTTCAAGTTAAGGGGGAAAATAATGACAAAGCGTAATTATTGAATTATCTCGTTTGTTTGTTGATCTCTTTGATACAATTTTGATCTCTTTGATTTTTTCGCTACTACCAACATTTAAGGTCCTACGCTTACGGAGACGTCAGGCCTATGGAATGTTGATCCCTTGAGTTTAGTTAGGCTTGCCATAGGCGTAGGACCTTAAATTTTGGTAGTAGCGAAAAAATCAAAGAGATCAAAATTGTAGAAAATATAATTCTTTCCAACTTTGTTTATGTACATTTATGTCGTATAGTCAATAGCAAACGAGATAATTCAATAATTATACTTTGTCGCTATTTTCCCCCTTAACTTGAAAAATATCGATCGCACGTTAAAATTTGTAATAAAAGAAGTTGTAGGAAATCACATTTTCAACAACTTAAGTAATTACCATTTTTGTTGTAAAGTTGAAAATGGCCGAGATATTGAGCAAAAACGATTTTTCCTTAAATTCAAGATGGGGGCTGATGCAGGGGTGGAATTCAGTCGCGATTCTGAATTTACACTACTATTGGCGCTCCCTAAAGGTTAGAACAATAAAATTGTGGTCCCTAATTTTTTCCCGGTTAAATGACAACCCGACTGGGCTAGATATATTAATTCTATAATTAAAACTACACTAATGGTATTAAAAATTCTTTATCTTATCTCAAACTGAATTAAATTCAATATTTCTTCATTTAACAATACATACTTGTACCAGTAATTTTAATTATTTATTAATGAATAAGACTATGTGCTTATATGGAATTTCTGTACAAATGGGAGGTATTAATGGGGATTGTAATAATTAGAAATTTAAAGTCAAAGATATTTCATTATACATATTTAAAAAATATTCATAATTACAATTTTCCAAATAGTTTTTATAACGCCTTCTTTATCTATTTCTCCATTTATTTTCGTCATATCGTAAGCTCAATCAGTTAAAATTACTGCAAGCTCTTCTGAAGTAGTTGTTTTAAATAGTTCATATTATCTTGCTCTGCAAAACTATATCGATACTTCTTTTTCAACATATTAATTAAAGAGAAGTTTTGCTGAAGCATATTATAAGCACAATTGAGTTAAAACTGCTTATTTATATGTATTTAGTTTGACGATAAAAAATAATTTGAAGAGTGGCACATTTAAGGGGGCAAAATTTTGACGTTAAAATGACATTTTATTTTGAGGATGGGGGAAATAATATAATCAAATGTGTTATCATCAGAGACAACTCTACTTGGTTATTATTTTCAGAAAGATGCGAAAAGTACGAATCGTATAAAAATGTTGATAGCATCATAACCTCTTTACTACCTATGAAATTTTATTTTTTCTCCACTTAAAAGTCTCATACGCAATTGATCGCTGAACTCAATTGCAACATATTTAGTTTTCACAAATATTTCACATACACTAAATCACACCCAAGAATCTTTTACATAACTTTTACTCTAAGCTTTGTTTACGGTATTTTGTACCGGTATACCCGTGTACCATTATTTGTTTTACCGGTATTTGCCTGCTTCATCTGCTTTGCACACATCAGCGCGATTGACCTCTCTTTCTAGGGCCAGTCCATAGTTTACTGGGTACCTGACAATTTTGTCTATCTTCTTGTGTGACTAAATGACTAAATGTTTCTGTCTATTTTTCTGCCACCCTCTGTCTAAATGTCCACTGACAGCCTGTCTGCCTCCTTGTCAGTTTATCTTCTTACCTTTCTGCCTACCATCCCCCCTCGGTTTTGCGAGATTATACAAAAACTAGAATAAAAAAGAACTTTTGAAGGCCTTCAACACATTAATTCGCTTCTTTCAGCATAAGTGTATTAATCGAAATTTGGGCGAGAACGCTTACGTTGTTCCTGCAATGATCTTTGAATCGCTTTTTTTTTATGTGCTTTATTTGTGCCTCACTTTAGATTTCAACAATGGTCTGCTAACATATTCTTCCCCCAAACACCTTAATATCTTTGTTCAAACTCATACTGGTACATTCTTTCTCCTTGTCCTTCACTAAAAGCTCCCAGATTTTTTGGGAACCAATCAAGATGAGAATGAAGAAAATGAAGTTGCAGATTCATATAACTTTTAGACAGAAGACCTTAGACCTTCAAATGACCTTGAACCTGACATGATAGAGCTTAACCGACCTCGGCGTCGACTTAGATAGAGTCCGGTATTTTTTTTTTCAAACTAAATGTTTACACGTGTTATTTTTTAATTTTAATTTTGTTTTAAGTTTTAATAATAATAAAACTTTAATCAAATATTTTCGTTATTTAATAATGAAAAAATTAATAAGAAAGAACGGTCGACAATGACGGAAAATCCACTTGTCGGTCGAGCATTTTGGAAGCAAAAAATAAATTTGAAAAAGAAGTTTTGTCAAGGTTTAGCCAGAAGTGCTGAAATAAGATTTCGATTGAATCCAATAGCGTTGCAACCGATTTATTTTAACGTTTTCAAATAAAACTGTTGTTTAATAAGTAGGTAGTTAATATTACGAATTTTTGTTTTGCCCACCCCTGAAAAAAATTCTGGCAACTCCCATGCCCACTGGTGATGTAAACTGACAAACTAATTATGAGATAACCCAGAAAATTTGCTCCTACTACATATGTGATGAAATAGCAACGCACACAACAATCAGTTGACGGCCGACGTATTTTTTCGAAATTGTACAGGGTGTTCCTCCTAAGAGGGATTCTTCTATAACTCTGTAACTGTAAAATTTATTAAAAAATGGTTTTAATAAAAGTTGTCTGGAATTATGTGGGCCATGTGGGACATGACTTTGTTATTTTAAATGGAACACCCTGTAAATTATTGCGTTTTTGAATTCCTTGGGTAATAATATTAGGTAAATTTTATGTACATGATGTTTAAAACTTACCGTATTCGAGATATTCAGTTGTTTTTGAAAAAAATCACGATAAGGCTACTTCTCATAAAAATGGTTTCGTTAATAGTCATAATTGTCATTATTATGACACAGTAAATCCTTACCAATTCCAGACAACTCATAGCCAACGATGGTCATTGAACGTGTGGGGAGTAATTTTGGGAACCCATGTCATTGGACCATTCTTCTTTGACCAGCATCTAACTGGAGCAGTTTATTTAAACTTTTTAATAAACACTCTAGAAGATTTATTAGACGACATTCCTTTGTCTACACTTCGAATAATGTGGATGCAGCATGATGGTGCTCCACCCACAATACCGCTGCGGTCCGTCAATTTTTACACGAAACTTTTCCCAACAGATGGATTGGGTGCGGAGGACCAGTGAGTTGGCCCTCAACGTGTCCAGATATGACAAGTTGCAACTTCTTTTTATGGGGATTTATAAAGTTTACGTTACGCCATCAACTACCGTGGAAGATATGTGGCAGCGCATTACAGTAACATTTCAAGAAATTACGCCAGACATGCTGACCAATGTTGAATAGTCTTTTAAAAACCGAATTCGTTTGTGTATTAATCAAAATGGAGGACACTTTGAGCGATTGATGTAAATCAGCAGTCTAAGTATTCTTCTCCTTGTTGTGTTCCAAGTTTCAGTTTGTTTCGTTTTGCGTTTTGTTTTAGTTGTTGTTAATGGTTTATTTTTGTTTGTCAAACCACTTTTTAAACATGCCAGTAAATATTGACACTGTCAGTCCCAGGTTTGATAAAATGTGAGAGAAAAGTAGTTTTGCAAGACCTTCTTGACGCTGTTACATAGGTAGCTACTTTTTCGGACTTTAGAAAAGAACCTGATTTTTCTAGAAAATTGTTAAAGATAAGTATGGACATCCTCATATCAGTCGAAAGGGCATTCAATTTTGCTTTCGCCCATAACAATTAATATGAATCATTCCATTTGAAGAAAAAAGTTTTTCAACTCGTAAGATTATTAAATGTAGGTCTCAGTGTCTCCGAGTCTAAATAACGTACACGTTTTGCTCACAGATGACAAGATAGAGTAATTTACGGCAACACGAACTGTGAAAACTGCAGGTATCTAATAGCTGTTTTACATTGACAATTTATTGATCAATTAATTCATGAAGTCGCTTCATCAAGAAATTGGACAAGTGTAATGCACCAAATCTGCTGTCAAATAACTTCATGAATTTATTCATCAAGTTCTTGACGAATTAGAGCATGTTCTAATTTTCGTCAATTTCTTCGTGAAGTTCAGAAGTACCAACCCAACAGATTTCCAGCCTCAGATCAGTAATGAGGTTATGTTATTGGAATATGTAAATAATTGTGTGGCGTCGTACTAGTTTTGCATTGTTTTTACTGATTTGTTACTTACAAAAACTAATATTTATATAATATGTGTCAGAACGGTAACGCTGTTGTATCACTACAATTATGAGTGGAAAGGTGACATTTTTGAAATTTATTTGCTTCTTTGATTCATTGGTAAAACTGATTCATACGTCAAACAACTTGACAAAGCCTGTAGCAATGTAAAACCACACTGTTTACCAATAAATTCGTGAATTTACACATGAAGAACTTCGTCAATTTATTCATGAATAAATTGTCAATGTAAAACAGCTATAACTCTTACGGTTTAGACACTAGAGTTACAGAAGAATCCCTCTTAGGTGGAATACCCTGTATAATAACGAGAGTATACCAAAATTTAATCGACCACCGACTGTTTGTCGTGTGTACTACGGGTAACTATACTCGACGGCCGAAAATATAGATAGTGATTCATCGCTAGCTCTTGGACTAGTAAGGAGGATCGGGGATCGAAAATCCATAGGCATGTATACGTAAAAGGCAACAAGATGTAGAAAATATGGAAAAAATATAATAAAACATAACATCTATTATTTTTAGAGGTTTTATCGAGAAAACTTCAAAAATATTTTAGTAACATTTTGTTTTTAAATTTTAAGTGTTTTCTATAAAACGATGCCCTCTTGGGCATCGATAACCCACCACCACCCGGCTTACGCCGCCGCAAAATATTGTAATGTTTACTATTAATATATTTATTTAAGTAGATACTTACATATTTTATAATAATTATCTCACGAATATTATCACTGTCACACTTTCACTTCACTGCCACATAATCACTATTAATATATTTAAATACTTACATATCACATTATTCACATTATATATTTCACATATCACTGTTGCTATCACTATCACTAGAATCATCTTCACCCAAATGAATAATGACTGGTTCTATGAACACTTCTACCATTCTATCAAGATCCCACATACGTTGTTCCTCTTTCTGTGCATGTCCAATACACTTACACCATGTTTCAGCAGTGACGTGATTAATAGCATCCTGTAACAATAATTTCTCGTCGTTTATTTTAAAGGTAGTGTTTTTTCGTGCGATTTCATTCTTTATTTGTGCCCAAACCAACTCAATTGGGTTTAATTCACAGTGGTATGGCGGTAAACGGAGTACACGAATTCCTCGATCTTTGGCCATCTCATCCACTACATACTTAATGTATTGACCTTTTTCTCTTTGGACAATTTTTAATAATTGTACTTTTATCATGGTTTCTGTATATTCAATATTTTTCGATTGTAACCAGTCCATAATATTTCCTTTTCTCCATGCTGATGTCGGTAACATTTCAACTCTTCTACTATGATAAGGTGCGTTATCCATCACAACAACTGCTCCTGTCTTCAGATATGATAAAACATATTCAAACCATTTTTCAAACACGTCGCTGTTCATATCTTCATGATAATCTCCCGTTTTTCGTGACTCAAATACATGCAAACCATTTTCTAAAAATCCCGTATCGCTTCCAATATGTGTTATAATCAATCTTCGTCCTTTTCCAGAAGGTGCCTTTAATCCAGTAGAAAATCCATCTAAAAATGCTTGTCTCTTACTCTTAACATTACCATCCTGCCAAACTTTTGATATAGTATGACCTTCGTTTACCTATGTTTCATCCATGTAATATATCTTCTTACCAGATGCACGAAGTTCTCTTATTTTTTCTAAGTATTCTCTTCGCCATACCACCATTTTTCTTCTTTTTCAACGAGCATACTATTCCGATTCCGTTTCAAATATCGAAAATTCATGTCACGCATTATTCTTCTAAGAACCTTATCAGAGAAATTAGGAATATCCTCATCTTCAGCTATTGCAGCTTGAATTTTCTATATCGTTGGTATTTCATTTCTAAAGAAAAATCCATGAATTTTCCTACGTATGGAGTATTTCACGTCAACGTCGACTTCTATTTTCTTCCTCCCTCGTGTTTCCACTTTTTTTTCTTTGGATTCACTTCTACACTATTTTTTATGGCACGATAAACAGTAGCAACGGATACTTTTGTCAACGAACTACACATATCAACAGCTTCACTTACACTTGTATTAGAATTTCGCGACCGAATTCCTTTATACACCTTTTACCATTATTAATTCCGCATCGCATAGGTTAGGGCGTTTATGAGCAACAGACCGTTTGCTACAACCGGCACTTTGATCCATTCTAATTATTATTCCTACGTTTTAAAACGTCCCGATTGTATTTTTTTAATTTATAAATTTACTATAGTCACGGAATATGCAAACCCTCGCGCGCGCTTATAGTTTGACGTTTCTAACTACGGCTAACTCGAATTCTACGTACGTCCGTTTACACCCACTAAAAAGAGCATTTCCCTATCTGTAATAAGTGCGATAGACAGAGATAGGAAATAAATCGCGTTCAGTGTAACTCAGTCTATGACTGTTATAGATCCTATCGATGTGCAAAGAGAGCGGCACATCACTTAACATAAGCAAATAATATTGAACCGTTATAAAAATCATTTTAAGTTTTATACACTTTACGGTAATAGTGTTTCTATATTATGTATGAATCACTATCTATATTTTCGGCAGTCGAGTATAGCTTTTTAATTAAACTTATTGTTCAAGGTTACCATGGCAGGCTTGGGCTATTATTTCGCTTTCCTGGGGCGTCTGCGCAGAGTTAAGTGACCACTGCAGAAGACCAAAAATAACGTCATCAGAGTCAAGGTCACCTTTTCTCGTGTACCAACAAACAGCTACGGTCAATGTTACGGTGTATCACTGTCAGTATTTGGAGGAGAACGTGTGCGACAGTGATATCTGCTCTAACTGTCTGACGGGGATCCCTGAGTTTACAGTGATCGGCAGCTCGACGTACCGGTATAGCGACATCACGCAGAACTGCCTGGAATGTTTTTCTAACAAAACTGCAAAGTTTAAAGATAAATTTAGTTTTCCGCATAGTAACAATACACGGCTCCCATATACATACTCTTGCCACAATAACACAAAATTGCTTAAAGCTATATCCGCTGTGCTCACAAAATATGACGCAGAAGCACATATTGCACGAGACGAAATAGTGCTAAAATCGGGCACTGTTTGCCGATACAGCTCGGGATTCTGTCACGATGAAAAAGAAGACATTGACGTCATGTGGCAAGTACAAAGTGGTTTTCATTGTCACCACTTTAAAACAATTAATATTTCGGACTCGTATTATTTCAAGCTCAACCAGAAGCGTTACGCTATAATTGAATTGTATGGCAATTATTCTGCTTTGGAACTGAAATCTTCACAAATAAAAAAATGTAATCTTAGTACTAGTGACCTATGGGAAACTCAACATCAAGGACTGATAGTAACTAAAAAACCTATATCAAATGCAAGCAACATCCCTCTTCAAAGACGGATTATTTGGGATTTTCCTTCCAAGAAAAACAAGACTTGTTCGATTTTCTAACTGGAAAATGCTTCGATGAGCTTTACAACACAAACTCTGATCAGAAATTCGCAACAATCTTCGAAAAATTATTTTTAAATGCTTTAGAGATGAAGTACCAACGAAAACACAATGACAAATTAAACACTGAGCTCCAACGTGTCCGATTTCATTTATATATCGCTTTTTATGTCATTGTTTTCGTTGTATTCTCTCTGGCAAGTGTGGTAATTCTCTTGATCTATTGTTCATTATGTAAGAAATGTTCTGCAGTCGATACTCACCACATACCAGAGCCCAGTTGTTCCAAACCTATCGCAAGTATTAGCAATAATTACGAATATATATCTACAGAGTATGATATAAACTCCATATATTTGAAAAAATAAAATGCTTCTGCCAAGTCAGAATTTGAACGTTAAAATAACATTAATTAACTTTAAATTATATTTATTTTACGTAAAAATGTTCTGCTTATAAACGTTATTTTACGGTTTCTTGGCACTACACTGGACTAACGTCCCCAGTAGTGGTTTTTACACATGATGAAAGGAACAAATTCGTTTAAAATTCAGATAATTATTTTGTGGACAAACGCTCGGACACGTCGATTAGTATTTTTAGTTGCGGATTTTTTGACATAAGAAAATTGTATACAGGATGTCTGAAGAAAAACATATGCAATCATCACTGATTTTTTTAATGGAATATCCTCCATATTAGCCATTTTTGAATTGTACGGTGAATTCTGAACACTTTTTGTATAACATATCTCTAAAGTCAGCGGTTTTCGTAATAATGACGTTTGAAATGTGATAAATGAAAAAAAATTAATGTTTAATCATAAAACATTATTTAAATTACAATTAATTTATAATAAATGTTCAACATTTTGTCCGTTTACTTCAATACATTTTTTTAGTCAAAGGATTATTTCCCGTTGAACGTTTTCAATTACCTCTGCTGGAATAAGTCTTATTTCCTGGCGTATTCTCTGTTTCAGGTCATCAAGATTATTTGGTCTGTTCACATAAACTTTAGGTTTCAAATAACCCCATAAGAAGAAATCTAAAGGGGTTAAATCTGGTGACTTTGGTGGCCACTCGATAGGACCTCTGCGTCCAATCCATTTATTAGGGAAAATTAAGTCAAGATATTGTCGAACAGCAATTGCAAAATGAGGAGGAAACACAGCAGCTAAAGCGGGGATGAGTTTAAACTGAAGAAAGTCTGAGTAGCGTTATCCATTTAAATTTTCTTCAAAAATAAAGTCCATGGATTTGGTTTTCGACAATACCTGCCCAAACATTTATTTTTTGACGATGCTTTCAGTTGCCCAGTACCTGCAGTTTTGTCTGTTTACGTGTTGATTTAAAACAAAAGTAGCTTCATCAGAAAAAATAATCTTTCGAGTGAAAAAATAATTACCTGAATTTTAAACGAATTTGTTCCTTTCATCATGAACGCACTGTATAAGATCAAATGGTCCCAAATGACCTCCCACAAAACTATAAGGTAATAAAGAAAGATTCAATGTAGTACAAGAAATTGGCAAAATAATACATTTTAAAGAATATATTTGTAACTTTACTGCAAAGCATTTAGATCAAAGCTGGAAGTTGGAATGCGACAGACATATACAGGGTGTCATGTCAAAAATGAAGAGATATACAGGTGAGGTCAAAATAGTTGTAGTACTTCATAAAAAAAATTTTATTATCGGGCTTCGTTGTGGAGTTATTCGCCTTCAAAGAAAGGAGTTTGAAAAACAAATTCCAATTATAACTTTTAAGTCGTTACCATGACAACAATGATATTTGGGCAACATGGCAATGTTTATTTCGAAGTTTAAACTGATATTCAATACGCCTGGATTATACAGGAGCAGATGAAATTATCAATTTAAATTTATACATCTTTGACAGTGCTGGCAAATTTGACATTTTTCTTTCTTAGTTCGATTCCTCTCTCACTTTGCTAAAAAAAGGTATACCGTATATCAGTCGATATCTTGTACCGTTTTTGAGAAAATGGAATTTTATTAACAACATACATTTATTGTATCAAAAATGTGATTTTTGTAAAAATCTTGGTTTCTATACTTCGAATTAAAAATTAAAAATTAAATTAAATTAAAAAAAATTAAATTAAAATTAATTAAATTAAATTTAAAAATTAAATTAAAAAAAGAAAAAAGAGAGTTAAGTATGATGTCCCATATGTGCAGCTTGACTTTAATGCATTTTCTGAAATTACACAAACACCTCTGCTGTACTCGAAATGACATGTGGTGATCATTTCTAATGATATCGGCGTACGTAATTATGCGATTTAATAATTCTTCCCTACTATTTATAGAAGTTTGATAAACAAGAAAAAATCGAGAGGATTAAGATCGGGAGACCGAGGCGGTCACGGAAAATGACTACCTCGACCGATCCATCGATCGGGAAATGTGGTACCTATTTAAATAAGCCCGTACTGTCCTGGTAAAATGGGGTGGTGCACCATCGGGCATAAGCCACATGTCAAATATTCAAAAGGACGTCTTCTAATAAAGGGTTATGGTGTTCTTGCAGTAAATGTAGGTATTTATCCTCATTTAAAGTGTCATCAATGATATGTGGTCCCACTAAATAGCTTCCAATTATTTCTATCCATACATTAATAATAAATTTTTGTTAGTGTTTTGTCTGAATAATAGCATGGGGATTTTTGTCACTTCAAATATGCAAATTCCATTGAAAAGCGGTTGGCATAAATCCGAACAGGTTCAGAAGCATTACATTCTGCAAGTTCATACATTAGATGAATATCTGCAAATTCTTCCTAGTTAAAATCTTCCATGACACTGAATCAACAAGTGGTGTCAAAATGATTTATGACAAATATCTAACTGCTAATTATACATACTTGTTGACGGTCGTCTCAATTTTCATAAAAACCAAGATTTTTACGAAAATGTTAATATCACATTTTTGATACATGTATGTTGTTAATAAAATTCAATTTTCTGATAAACGATACAAGATATCGACTGATATAGGGTTACCTTTTTTTTTAGCAAAGTGAGAGAGGAATCGAACTATGAAAGAAAAACGCCAAATTTGGCAACGTTGTCAAAGATGTATAAATTTAAACGGACAATTTCGTTTGCCCCTGTATAATATTCAGGCATATTGAATATCAGTTTAAATTTCATTGTCGTCATGGTAACGACTTAGAAGTTATAATTAGAATTTGTTTTTCAAACTTCTTACTTTGAAGGCGAAAACGCCACAACGAAGCCCCATAGGAAAAATTTTTTTATGAAGTACTAGAACTATTTTGACCTCCCCTGTATATCCTTTCATTTTTGGCACCCTGTATACATAAAGTATGGAAATGAAACATGAGAGTGAGAAAAAAGCCATCATAGAGGCATTTGTCCTGCTACATACGAATCAGCGCGAAACAGTCGGATGCTGAAAGTCAAATTCGTCACTTCCTTCAATGTCTTTTCTTTATGCTCAGTATCAATTGCAGTGTTTATCTTAAGCTTTTAAGTGGTCAAGTTCACTGACCTGATCACTCTAATGTATAAGTATGCTAGAAGTTTTTTGTTATCAGGTCATGGTGTGCTTTTTCAGTACATAAACATTAAAAAATTGTGACAATTTCATAGATTAAATACAGGTTTGGCTTCAGTAATCATTCATTAGTGTCTGACTTATTTCACGCTAATTGATTTTAAAAAACTAAAACAAAACCTTTCCGTCGCAGTTGACCCCATTTGAAGTTTTAAAATCAAAATTAGCAAACTTGAAATAGTCGTTTAAAGTGTACATCAGCTGTTTCATTAAATAACGCCACACGTCACTTTTAACGGAAAGTATGACATTTATTTACGACTAATGACGTCATCAGTTATATTTTTCCAGAAACATACCCAATTTTTTTTCCTGTTAAAAAGATCTCTTTTTTCTAATAAACTTTTATTAGAGAAATTCTTCTGTATTACTTCCCTTTTAAAAGTTATAAGCAATATCGTCCTAAAAAGTCTCAAATGAAATACCACCTATAAATCACATTATCGGTGGAAGGATCAAGTAGTCGTTGGAAAATAATTGAATAGTCGTTGTTTAAAGTGCATAAATGTCATTAAGAATAAATAAAAGGATTAAACTCGATAATTCTTTAATACAGTTAAAAAAAATCTAATTATAATAATAACTAAACTGAAAAAATGAGGCAAACGCTTTCATACGACATACATATTACAATCTATTCTCTATATGACCTCCTCTCATTTCAACACATTCAATCTTCGCTCAACTTCTTTGAGGGCTGCGTTTATTAACATTTCGCCGTTTAAGTCATTAAAAGCGTTTGCAATTTTTTCTTTCAAATGATTAATACCTCGCGAAGGTGTTTTGTAAACCTTATTTTTTAAAATCCCTCATAAAAAAATCGAGGTGTGTTGGATCTGGTGACTTTCCGGGCCACTGAATAGGTCCATTAAGCCCAATCCATTTTTCTGGGAAAGTATTATCTAAACATTGCTGCACAATCCTGGCTTTGTGGGGTGGAGTCCCGTCGTGCTGAAACCATAGGTTTCTCGTTAGCTGCAAAGGCATATTCTCCAGAAGTACAGGAAGTTCTTCTTGTAGGAAATTTAGGTGACTCACGCTGTTCAATGTATGTTTATATAAATAAGGCCCAATTAAATGCCTACCGATGATGCCGCACCATACATTTACTCCAAAATGGCCTTGGTTTTAGACTGGATTTACAATGTGGGGATTTTCAATGGACCAGTAGTATTCGTTGCGGCTGTTTGGCAATACATTACTGACAAACCGACTTTCGTCCGTCCAAAGAACCTCATATCAATCGAAAGGACACTTAATTTGGGATTCAACGATAGCAGTTCATGAAAAAAAAAGTAATTCGTCTTCTAAGATTGTCAAATGTAGGTCATAATATTGACGGTCCTGAATAACTTATTAAAAAAAAAACCGTCAAATATCTCGGAAACGGCGGGTTCTAGGTACCATGTATGGTCAACAAAGTAAAGTCCCTGTATAACTGAAAATATTTTACAGGGATGCCCAATATAATTCCAGTCAACTTTTATATAAAACATTTTTTTATTAAAGTTAAAATAACACCCTAAATAACATCCGGTTTATTTAGGGTGAAAATGGACCCAAAAATCGCTCAATTTAGCCGACGGAGACGAAGGAGAGTATCTTTCTCTTTTGTTTTTAAATGATCTGCGAAGAGGATATCTTTTTCTTTCTTTTTTTTTCGTCTTTAATTTTCGGTGAATCCCGTTTTATATTGCAACAATAGTCAGCAACATGCTTACGTTCCATCTTCGTTGATGTGGCTTTTCCATTTCTTTAAGTTCCCGATGGAACCTTTCTAAGTTCTCCAAAGTTCTTCCCATGTTTAAAAAGAGTAATTGATAATTATCGTCCTATAAGTATTGGTTCAGTGTTTGACGAAGTTGCAGAAATAATTATAAAATGGTAGTAATATGATTATTTTTCATTGTATTCAAGTACACGGTCGATAGCCGCACGGTTTAAGGCGTCAGTACGTAAATCGATGTGTCGATCTGCCCGGGTTTCGAATCCCGCGGCCGGTAGAAACGTAGATTAGCTATGCTTGTACGGAGGATTGGCACCCTCTGTGCAGGTATGGTAGGGTGGAAGAATGTTGGCTTGGGTCAATGTGAGAGATTGACACCGGTTGAC